CGTATACATACACACCTACATGCAAATAATATATATATATATATATAAATGTAGGTATGTATATGCCACAGTATGACAACTAGATTACCGTCGATTAGTGAACAATTGTTTTGATTAAAATCATTGAACTGTCCGTTTCATCCCTAAAGTTCCACTTTTGAACGTTGAGTCGTGAGGTTACGTAGGCGACAAAATACATATTTAAAAGTACTCAAAAACCCGTCATGGAAAGAATTTTCATGAACCAATACTTTACTTGCACAAAACTTAGCGGTCTCATAAACTTTCCAGTGGTTTGAGAACAATGCAGGCCATGTCAGTGAATTCCAGTCATATGGGCAGATACACTATTTATTACAATAGAGCAAGGTAGAAGTGTTGAAGAGTTCTGACTAGTCCTCGGACATGCTCTCAAGAGCAACCACCACACAGAGCGCTAGACCTGTATCGACACCCTCAGAGATATCAATGTAGTAGTGTTCGGCGATGGGAGCAATATAGGCCTTGTGCACCTTAATTATCTCACGGCCGTGTTCCGAGACGGTGAAGTTGTGCTCAAGAATGGATCCGTGGATCTGCCAGTCGGTCTCTCCTCTGATCTTAACAACGAAATTCTCACGCACAATGCCGATAGCACGCTTCTTGATCTCCGCAACCTTATCACCGTGGTGATCCTCAATAGCCATGGAATCGCGCACACGTGCCTTACGCTCTTGAATCTGATAAAGGGTATCTCTGCTTAAATTCTGCAACTGGAATGTCTCTCTGACGCGCATAACCTTGTTGTTGGCAATGTAAGCGGGCTTACCACGGCCACGTCTGCGAGACATTTTGTTGATATTGAAATCGTCACCAATGTTCAACAACAGCTTCTCTCGCATGCAATACGTTTGAGGTCCTTCGTCGTCTCTATCAGAGTCTGAACCAGACCCCGAATTGCGACGGCCCCCACGTCTACCACCGATAATAGCACCCGCAACAGCTGCCTTTGCCACTGGGCGGCGTCGACCCCCATCGTCAGATGATGATGAGCCAGAACCTGCACGACGGCGGCCGATGGCTGCGCCAGCTAGAAAGGCTCCTCCTCTTCTAGGCATATTGAGCTAATATTATATGTGTGGGTTAATGTGATCAACTTTTTTTTGAAGGGTAGACAATATCTGATAAACACTTAAGTGTCAGCTTCGTTTTATATAGCAAAAGATAAACACTATCGAGAAGAGCAATATAATAATATAAATGTTGTATCGCAGTATGCGGCTGGCGGTCTGGTGGAGGCTGACAGCCAGAGTGCCTGGCACTGACAGTGACTGGCAGTCTGGCACTGGGCGCCGGGCGAGTAGTTTGTTGGGCATGTTGGCACCGGCACTTTCATGTACCAACGCACTTTTTTAATTTTTTAAATGATAAATAAAAACTCCGGGAGTGGCATAATCTTTTTTGGAAAGACATATTTGGTAATTTGTAGGAAAGATATATGTATATGCGAGTCCGAACTCCGATGGACCCTACGCGAGAGAATCCTCTTTTTACGCTGTCTCGGTGTCTAGTTTCTACACTCTACACTCTACACTCACACCCCATCCTCAAACCGTTTAAACGTTGATAAATCGAATAAATATACGTTTATGCTCTACTTTTTTGCTCATAACTTGCGGGTCTAAATATTAAAGTGTATACCATGTTCACGATAGGTAAAACAACTTAGGTAGGCCCTTCTGATCACAATGTTGCAACATATTTTTTGCTATATTTTTTATTTTTGATCTGTATATTATGATCCCAATATTGCACCTATTTTCAAATTTTGGTTCAGTTATTCGACACCTGAATGTGACGTCAGGACAAACATCTGGGTTGTAGATGCCTATTGCTGGACCTGAAATTCAAAACGGGACGCTTTTAAAAAAGGAAGTATGTATACGTTAAATTTTCAACGTTTAACGGATCATATATTTGCGTTGCAACAAAAATAACGATATGAGGTCTAAATACACTACAACTTCTGACAGAATGACAATCTGTAAATGTTTTAGAGTCTGTATTTTAGTCTTTATTTGATACTGTGACTCGGTGTTCAATGGTGGCTGTTCGTCTTGGACTTTCGACTCATTCGACTTCTCGAGCCCGAGGCATCTGATGAATGTATTTACGCTCAGTATTTAGTCAGTACTCAGTACCTCACTTCAGTAAACTTCAGTATTAAAATAATCCTCAGTACATACGAATATGTAAATATGTAAATACAAATGTACTTTTTTCTTTTCTTTTTTCAAATACATGTATATGTTTTTTTATATTTATTGCAAAACAAATATGTATTTTATTTATTTCATTTTGTACATCATAATTCATAGCCCCCTAAATTTTATTTAAAAACAAACAAAGTTTTTTTATCCCTCTAGAAATACAAAACGTTGGAACGTAATCAATATATTTATTTACTACACTGTAGGATGCACAGCACGATCTATAGAAATATATATTAGTGCACACTGCACTCTACTATATATTCATTTGGCCATATTATAAAATGCAGAAGAAAGTTGTGACGACGAAGCGTCCGGATATTGAACAACCATGTTCACCCGAAGTTTCGAAGTCCCGAAGTCCCGAAATTCCGTGGTTCCGAGGTTCCGAGGTTCTGAAGTTCCAGATGTTCCGAGGTTCCGAAGTCCCGAACCGAAGAGGGCCAAGGCGCCGAAAGCCCGAGGTGAGAACTTGTGTGGTTTGTTTAGAAACTTTACACAATTTTCATCATGTAGAATTTTGATTTTAAAGGGGTATGGTTTTCAGAAGCTATTTTTTTTTGCTTTTTTCAAAGAAAACGTTGACTTGCAGTCTGGACTTTTAATTTTGGACTTTAGGAGTTTGGACTTTGGACTTCGGACTTTGGACTTTGGACTTCAGACTTTGGACTTTGGACTTTGGACTTTGGACTTTGGACTTTAGACCCTTGGTGTTTGTCACAGATTTTTTTTTGTTTTTTTTTGCGCAAAGTTCGCATTCGCACACTCCCCCTATCAGTAGGCTCAAACTCGAAGACTCCTCACTCCCTCAGGGCCCAGAGGCGCAGACGCCAGACCTCATCTGGCCCATCAGAGCAACTCTTGACTCCAGACTCAGTGTTTGTGCCAGAGTATAAAGCTGTGGAGTCACTGGAGTGTGAACATGACTCAGAGTCTCAGAGTGTGGTACATTTACCGTTTATTTGTTTTTTTTATTTACGTTTTTGTTGCCAAAATTGACTCAAATCAGGAATTCAGGATTTTGGTCTGTTTTTGTTTTGTTTTTGTCTTTGTTTTATAGAAAACGACCATATTTACAATTTATTATTACAAAAGGACTATTTATACCAGTGGTTTTAGTTTTTACACTTTACTCATTACTGATTACCATTGCTATCTGCTGCAAAGTAGAAAATTTGATTTATTTATTTTTTAGCCTTTACGATCCAATTTCATAACCTTCTAAAAATTGATCACCAATATGTATGTAAATATGTGAACAAGTCTCGAAAGTATGTGGATTACCTACGCGCATTTATTTTACATACTACGTTTTCACTTTTCACGCTTACGAACAAAAAACTCCCCCCCACCCCGAAAAAAATACACTATAATAAATATCCAACCACCGACACACCGTCTTTGGCAAAGAGTCACCAAAACACTGAAACAGGTTGCAGACAATGCAGAGCCTCTATTTTTTTATGACTAAGAGAGTCATGCAGATTTGTTTTGTTTTTTGTTTTGTTTTGTTTTTAAAAATAAATTACAAAAATAGAGGATCCAACTTGTACCTGATCTAAAATCTTACAAAAATGTATTGCTATGATGTTATTTTTTTAAATATATTTTGAAAAAAAGGGTTTTTGGTTTTTATATAAAATAAACCCCGTAAAGATTTGGTTTTATTTTATTTTTCTAAAACAATGCTAAATATCCTTATGGAGTCTCTTAGTCTTAGGTGCAGTATCAGGAGTATATTTATCGCCAGAGTAGTGAGAGTACTGATGTCAATGAGCAATGAGGAACGAGGAATAGAGGATGGCCCAGAATGTTTTTTCTCTGGAAAGCGATTAAGAAAGCGACAAGCCGGCCATTGGTCCAGCGGGCACTGGGTAGTGGCCAGTGGGCAGTTTAGTAGGGCAGTGGGCACTGATGCTGCTGATCAACTGCTCCAGCCGCCCCCAGCCCCCCAGCAGAGCCCTCTATAGACTCTTTTAAGTTTGTAGTAGAGAGCGGCCCAGGCTCCAGATTCCCAAACTACCTGTATGTATGTAGGGCGTTCGGCGTTCGTCATCTCTCGACTGGTGTAGAGTTATCTGCTATGACTGTACTCTATACTACCCTACTACTACTGGTACCCACTACTCTCCCTGTCGCCCACTTGGCCTACATATATACTTGGATACCCCTATTGGAATAAAATATATTCGTAGACTATTATTTTGAAAACTGTGTGTACACGTGAGCACACGTATGTGTACGCGTGTATGTCTGTGTCTGTGTCTGTGTCTGTGTCTGTGTCTGTGTCTGTGTCTGTGTCTATGTCGGTGTCGGTGTCGGTGTCGGTGTCGGTGTCGGTGTCGGTGTCTGCTGTGTGTGTGTGTGTGTGTGTGTGGTTCAATTGTGTATTATGAATGTTTGTTGTTGTTGATCATCGTAGGGCAGGGCATTTGGCCCTTGCTCTATGTATACTTGACAAACGTAGTGTGGCGCACGGCCATTTCTGCCTCTAGCTGTTGGGACGGTTAATAAATAAAGTCGAAATGAAATGTATGCTCATGCGTATGCTGATGGACTACTTCTCAAATCATTTTATGGCAATTATGTATTGAATAATCAATTTCTATGCATATGGGGCAGTCAGTACAACAGATTTTCAATTATACAGTATGTATGCAAGAGTCATCTGATATCCTCGTCTCTTATATCCACTGTTAAATAGAGCAAACGATCGCAGTCTGACTCGTTCTGAGCAGTTTTGTTGTTGTCTAATCGAACGAACGATGCTCTCTGACTAGTGTTCAAGTATGTGCGACTATTTCGTGTATATCCGTACCCTGTATGTAGCAAACAATCGTCCTATTTCCGGTAGCAATTGATATAGGGGTCCCATATAAACTATCCATCCACGGCTTTGCATAGCAAACCTCGAGGCCAGTGCCGCCATTGTTGTGGTTCGATAGATTGCACACCCGCGTGCAAATACATCTAAACTATTGACATGTATGTAACGCGTATAGTACACGTACAGTATCCCGGCGCTCGCTTTGTTGGTTTGCATCTTATATATTGTTTATTAACAACTCTCAATTCTAGGCTAAATCTCTCCATAGCACGGACTCAACACTCTGAGGTGCGGGTGTGTAATTCATGTCCACATGCTGGCAGGGCTTGTGAGGCGAAACAACGTCCGACAGTACGCCTACGCCAGCGGAGTGCATACTACGCACATGGCAACCGCGCATGGCAACCGCACATAGCAACCGACTACGCACTTGACAACGGTCTGAGTATTACTATTCTCTCACCAGCAGTCGTAAACCAGACCATTGTACCCCTCAAACAATCTCTCCCTGGTACACACACGGTTGGGGCCTGCATCTCTGAAATAAAATTTCGATCCATCCTAAACTACACAGCCCTAGTCTGTACCCTGTATCCGTTCTCAGCATGTATAAATACGTTTCCCATCGGTTACTGAGCCTAGCGCCATCCGCACCGTCAGTGGACGACAGTATGCGTGCTATGCATACGCTCACCCTTCCTCACTAACACCCCTAACACCTCTTCTATTGGTCATGTAAGACCATGCAAGTGTGTGCCTGAAGCTGAACTTCTCACAGGGACGCTCGGGTATACACACTCCGTGCCTGAGCTTAGATTTGTAGTCGATGGTGAACCCCAGCTGCAGATCTCAGCAGTTGTGGGTACTATATCTCGTTCGTACTCGCACACTTATCCGTATCGGCGTCCACCGGGCGTGTTGGCTGACTAACAGAGTGCACACGTGTCTGGCTATAAGCTGTGGGAATGTCGGTCAGGTTACATGAAATGCTAAGTGTATGTTGTCCTGTACTGTGTCTTTCTTTATCCTGCTGTGTCCGTCGACCTCCTCTAACGTTTTATCATTGTCAGTGTCCTCCACCCCCTTCTGGTGTCCCAAAAGGACTCTTCCTGGCCCTGTCCAGCGCAGGCGTTTCTAGTATATGCATGCATACCGATACGAGACACTCGCACACGCACGATCTATGTGTGCACGAGGCCATATCGGATACCAACCCGCTGCGGGGCTGTAACCTGGAGCGTGGATTAAAGTCTGTGCATTGGTATGCGTATTCTAATCAGCTGCTCGACTGATTTACATCTGTGCCCAGCTCCATGATCATGCACTCTTCAAAGTATATCCGACAGAATATACCGTCAGTCACATATATCCGTCACAGACCCTTATGTGCGTTCGCAGCGCAGGCTGATTCCGTGATGTCCGCACAACGGTGTGTATGCAGTGGGTACAGAACTTCAACTAAAGTAAAGCTAGCGTCTAACTCTGCTCATGCCGTCCAGCGTCGTGCACACACTCTTGTGAACAGGAGTGCGGCTTTCGGCCTCATGGTAGGTAGTGTACTCCATGGTAGGTAGTGTTCCCTGTTCCCATCGTACGTTGGTTTTGTTAGTGATGCCCGTGGTGGGTCTGAGTACCCGTGAATGTGTGTGCCCGTGGATGTTAGTATCTTCGCTGCCTCTTCCGGAAGAGCGCCATGACGTGGTCATCCGATGCCATCCCTTGGGGAGTTACACCGGAGAGTGAATACATATGAGCATAAGAATAGAAACACCAGCACTGAGTGAATACAGATGAGAATGACAGTAGAAACACCAGCACTGAGTGAATGTAGATGAGAATAACAATAGAAACACCGGCACTGATGTAGAGAATAAGAATAGAAACACCAACACAGATTGTATACAGATACGATTAACAACGGAATACAAACAGGGTGTCGACTTCAAATGAGATTAAAATGGGACCATAGGAGGAAATCATCTCAATTCCACGTGCAAAGATGATCTAAACCATCAGAAACTATCAATACCTAGTGAAGTCTGCCAGGCAATCATCATGATAAGATGGTCGATGATAACAACGGGCATGCAATTCAGGCATAGCATCGACGATAGTGTTAATGCAGAACTATATGGAACAATGGTGGGGAGGTGTTTGCACGTGTGGTTATCTATATCCTCCTTTATACTAGACTTGTTAATGCAGAACTATATGGAACAATGGTGGGGAGGTATTTGCACGTGGGGTTATCTATATCCTCCCTTATACTTAACTTAGGCGTAGCCAACCATCCCTTGCCTGTAATTTATATCATAGACCATTGGCAATTGACAGGGATAGGATAAAATTATAAACATGCACACTACGTACTATGTGCATGCACAGATCTATCAGAAACAGTATTGCAATCCTATTAGAAGTGGCCACATACCCTTCTGATATCCACCCCCAAACGTGCATACTACGTTCATATGCATGTACAAACACAGACTTCTGATATCCACCCCCACACGAATGTATACTACGTTCATATGCATATACAAACACACCCTTATGATATCCACCCCTGCCACCTCTGCCTGGTCCATGGGCTCCTCTTGTGCTCTTGGCACCGCCACGTCCCCCTCGTTGGCTTTGGTCTGACACCACCGGCCTGCCTTTGGAGACTGTGTAAGGTAGACGGTATGTGTGTGCTAGTTGTGTCTGTGTGTGTGCTTGTGTGTTCATTGTATGGGTGTTCTTTGGAGACTCGGTAGACGGTATGTGTGTGTTAGCTGTGTGTGTGTGTGCTTGTGTGTTCATTGTATGGGTGTTCTTTGGAGACTGTGTACGGTAGACGGTATGTGTGTGTTAGTTGTGTGTGTGTGTGCTTGTATGTTTATTGCATGGGTGTACTTTGCAGAGTGTATGTAATGGACGACGTATTATGTGCGAGTATTGTGTGTGTGTTTGTATTTTTACTGTATGTAAGTCCTTTGGGGACTGTGTGGAATAGCATCGATATAAGTATTAACGTTGTGTACGTCTATGTGTTTGTA